GATGCTATACCTTTTGATAGCCGGGCACCATCAGCTTTCTTTGCCACATTTGCTTATGCACTCATTTGTCTTCAGCGATCATATCATGGAGGTGAGCACACAATGATGTGATTTTTTTGTTCTTTGATGCCTGATAACTGATCCCTTCGGCACCTCATGATCACACAGGCTGGTGTGTTCTTCCATGTGGGCTTTGTTGTTTCTGAGCTAGATGGCCACTTGTTTACCTTCAAGCTTTTAAGATCCCCTGCGCTATATCTTTTGATAGCTGGGCACCATCAGCTTTCTTCACCACATTTGCCTATTCACCCGCTTTGTCTTCAGCGGTTGGAAAATGACACATTCCTTTGGGAGAATCAAGTTCTCTCCCAACCCTTTGGGGTGGCCAAGAAGCCGGTCACTGCTGGTGGTCCTCACCCAAGGGACGGCCACTTTCTCCTGTGCATTTTGCTTGGCCATCTTTCTGATTTTTCACACATTGTCCTTGCTCAGCTTTTGAGTCAGTATAAAGACTCATGGAGGTTTCTATCTATTTTGGCCGAGGGGCCCTGTTTATAAGGAGATAGCCACCATTTCCCTTTGCTGGCAGTCAGTGCCACGTTGGCCACTATCCCCGAATGGGAGAGAATCCACTGAGTGTTTGCTTCCCTTCCCTTGCTCCTCGCCCTCGCCCCTTTTAGGCCTCTCCACGAGGCAAGTCCCTTTTGGCTTTTGGCACCTTTGCATCCTCTTTCCCAGGGGCCTTAACTCCTTCTCCCACTCCAGGACAGATGTTCACATGTCCCCCTGGCAACCCCTGACTCACTTCCAGCCCAAGTTCCTTTTGCCATACTTTCCAGGCTCCCCTTCTCTCCTCCCTCCTTCTCCCCTTCCACCCCTCCCATAACCACCAGAGTTCCCGAGGCTCCCTGCCTTGACTGACCTCTCCAAGGACTTGTCTTCTTCTTCTTCCCCTGGTTCCTTTTGGACTCCCAGCTGGGGCTCTCCCTCAGTAGATGATTAAGCAACAACTCTTCACATGGCAAGACCCTATGTCTTCTTGTATCATAGTCCCTCAGCCCAAAGGTCTTCCCTCTTCCCCTGTGACTCAACCGGCCATCACTACCAAGTCTGATCTCTCTCAAACCCACCCCAAACCTAAACATTTGATTTAATCTTGGAAAAGTCCTCTTTCAGGATTGTAAATCTCTGTGCGTAATCTGGAAAAACCATAAAAGTGTAAAGAAGTTGTAATCATTTTTTTAGGGCTGCTGTAACATAGTACCACAAATTGGATGGCTTAAGACTCCAAAAAATGAAATTCACTGCCATCAAGTCAATTCCAACCCCTGGCGACCCTAGATTCCTAGAGGACAGGGTAGAACTACCCCCTGTGAGTGTCCATGACTGTAACGCTTCCCAGCAGTGGAAAGCCAGCTGAAGTGTACTGACTCACGACTCTGGAGGATCTGGAAATCGGGGTCTTGGCAGGGTCGTGTCCCATTCTAGGGGCAGGTCTGTCCTGGTCTCTTTTAGCTTCTGGTTGTTCAGACGTTCCTTGACTTGTGGATGTATTTTCACATGACATCTTCCTGCTGTGTGTCTCTGTGTCTGTATCCTCTTTGGTAAGAACAATACTCAGGTTGGATAACAACCGTCTCTACAGTGGTATGATCTCCTGGTAGCTAATAACACCTTCAAAGACCCTATTTCCAAAGCCATGTTTGAGGACGAACATACATTTGACTTAAGCTATGGGATTTTCAATCACCTCATACGTATGTGAAAGCTGGATGTTGACCAAGGAAGACAGAGAAGAACTGATGCATTTGAACCATGGTATTGGTAACGATTGTTGACTATACCATGGGTCACTGGAGCAGTGGGCTCAAATATAACACCATCTGTGGTGGGCAGTGTTCTGTTGTTCAGAGGGTCACTATGAGTCAGAACTGACTCAACAGACCTAACAACAACAACAGCTGGAAGAATGAGTGTGATAGTTTGGGGTTTTGTGCCAACATGGCACCTGTAAGAAGATCTGGGTGGAGTTTAGCCTAGCCTGTCAATCAGGTTGCTGCTTGATGACCTCATTTGGAAGTGCCACTGAGATAAATGGCTCTGTGGAGGTGGGCCACTCTCTCTGTGCTTTCACCTTCCTGCTGGCCCTGTGATGCTTCCACTGCCTCTGGATCCACATGACTTTGCATCCACCAGCCTCTGATCTCCCTGTATTCTGCATCATTGCATGTGGCTGCATGAGTCTGAAGAGGGATTTATGGACTAGTATCAGACTTAATGATTTGATCTGGACTGGGCTGGGATGTTTTCTTGATACATTACCTCTTGATATAAAGCTCTGTCTTACACATATACGAGTGTCACTGAATTTGTTTCTCTAGTCAACCTGGCCTAACACAATGAACAAGTCTCTCTTGGAAAGAGTACAGTCATATTGCTCCTTAGAAGCAAGGATAGGAAGGCTTCATCTCATGTACTTTGAACATGCCGTTAGGAGGGACCAGTCCCTGGAGAAGGACATTACACTTAGTAAAGTAAAGGCCAAGGACAAAGAGGAAGACCTCCAACAGAATGGATTGCTAGAATGATCTCAAGCATAGTAGTGACTGTGAGGATGGGGCAGGGCTAGGCAGTGTATGTTCCGTTGTGCACAGGGTGCTGTGAGTTAGAACCGACCTGAGGGTACCTAGTAACAAACACAACAGGGAGGAGGATTTCAACATTTCTCTATAGAGACTACAATTCAATCCATAACAGAAGCTGAAAAACATTCATTCTGAATCTCACTCTAATATGTTGCCACATTGAATCTGTCATAAGAAAAACTTTAGTAGTTTTCCTCATATTATAAAAGTAGTATGATTTTATTACAGAAAGGCATCAAAACACAAAGAAGAAAAACACAGCCATCATCCCCTGCCTCCACCCTAGAGTTACCTGCTGTGACAAGGTGGATATGCAGTTTCCTCTTTCTTGCGCGCACACACACATTTATAAAATTGGGGCCATACTGAAACACTGTTTATGTAACCATAATGAACTTAGGGTAGAAATACTACCACATGTCCTTGACTTTTCCACTTATTCATTAGACTCCCACTCCCCTATTCCGTCAGACCCCAAGCAACCCCTCACACTGAGTCCACAAAGGTGGGGGTGGGGGGTGGGGGGTGCTGATTCCAATGCCACACGAAGAAGCAGCTGTCTTACCTGTCCAAGGTGCTTGTTTCTTCTGTTGGCCACTTGATGCCCTGACTGTGCACAGTGCAGCCCTGTGGACAAGGACCCCTGCTCATGCTGCCATTGCTTACCCCAGGCCTGCACAGACAGGAGAGCCCCAGGATGACTGGTTTCTCTTCTCGAGCATTGCCCCAACTAGGGAGGCCAGAGCCCTTAGGCTCTTGAGCTCAGACAAATAGACTAGGGGTCACCTGCCCCTGGTGAATTCCTCTAAGAGATGCTTCCTGCCGGTGGGTTTTGATTAGGGCCTGGTGGATATAGCCAGGCATGGCTTCAAATCTTAGAGAGCCAGGCTTGAGGCTTGGGTCTGTGCTGAACAAAGTGCACATAGTAGGCTTTAGCCTGCTCTTCTTGGAAAGCGTGGCCCTTGTCTGACATCTGTGAACTTGGCTGATATAAGCCTTGGTCTAAATCAACGGTTCTCAACTAGTGGGCCACGACCCCTTTGGGGGTCGAATGACCCTTTCACAAGGGTTGCCCAATTCATAACAGTAGCAAATTTTCAGTTATGAAGTAGCAATGAAAATAATTTTAGGGCTGGGGGTTCACCACCACATGAGGAACTGTATGAAAGGGTCGCAGCATTAGGAAGGTTGAGAACCACTGCTCTAAATAAGGGTGGCTCACTGTGCCTAGACTGTGCAAAAAATGTAACTTGGGCTGAACACTTGCTTCCCTCCGTGGGTCTGGGATTTATGTGCATGTAACCTATGAGCCCCCTGGATTTCTAGACCAGGCGTGCTCCCCGGTCAACAACTCTCAGGAGGTCTTGTACCGATTGCTGGAGGACTTACGCGTGTTCCGTGTGCCTCCTCTGTGAGCAAACTCTCAGAAGGTATCTGGCTCCTTCCAGACTTCTCTCAATGCACCTTTCACCGGTGCTCATGGGATTCGTACCCTTTCACTGTCATCAATCTTAGCCCTTACGGCCGACTCTCTATGGAGTTCTACGGCAGCATGCTTGCTAGAGTGGACAGGCAGTGAAGAAGAGGAAGGCTCTCACACGACAGACTGACAGCGGCTGCAGCGAGGGGCTCGGGCACAGGAGCACCTGTGAGGACGGCACAGGACCGGCAGCACTTCCTTCTGCTGTGCATGGGGTCACCACAGGCCTAACCTGACTCGATGGCATGTAACGCGATGGCATGTAACGTGAGTCGTTCGGCGAAGCACTGAACCTGAACGGCCGGTCTTGGCAACCTCCAACACAACAGAGCCCTTGCTCTCACCGAAGGACGTGGGGGCTCCTGCAAAGCGGTCTCTGTATCTCCATGGGCACTGTTGCAAGCCCGCCCTCATCAGTCCAAAGTGAGGCACCCCCTCTACTGTAGTATTTCTTTTCATTATTTCTTTCCATTTTCTTTGCATCTCCTGAAAAGCTCCTGACCACATTTCTTGCAGAAAAGGATTTTATCTTTGCCACAGCAGTCACCTTCTCACATTGGCCGCCACCAGAATGCACGTCAGTCCGGGTGTTAGAATAGTCTTCTCAGGGTTTGACGGCTGACTTTCCAGAAGTGGACACCAGGCTGTGCTTCTGAGGCAATTCTGGGGAGACTCCAAGCGCTGACCTTTGGTCAGCAGCTGAGCACGTGAACGGCGTCTGCCACCCACTGACTCTTCGTCTGTTAGACCCTGCTTTGTTCTCATCGCACCGTCTAGGTGGTCATCGTCAGCATGATCTTGAACCGCCGTGGGAACCAGTCCCCGGTAGACGGACACTTAGGCGCTGCCAGGGTCTGGCTGTGACTCCTAACGTCCAGTGGACACTTTCATGCAGAAATCTCTGACGGGAGTTCTGCTATTCCATCAGGAGAGACTCCTTGGAGAACAATTGCTGCTGGGGCAAAGAGAGTGAACTTTTTTTGAGTTCTGGAGACTCAAAAAAGAGTGAAGTTCTTGAAACATATCTCTGGATTCTGCAAAGGAGGCTCCCTCCTAACATGGCCAGTTTCCACCAGCTGGCTATGGGACTGTGGGGGAGTTTCCCACAATGCCCAGGTTGGCAAGGGTGGCCTTGCTGCTCTTGGCAGGAGATGTTGGAAAGTGCTTTGCCCTTTTGAGCTGCGTGGGGGGCAGGGGACCATGGTGCCATGCTGCAGACCGGTAGAGCGCCCATGGTAACTCACTGTGCCACTCCAGTCAACGCCAGTGACATGCGCTCTCTCATCTCTTTGAGGATCCTGTGGATGGACGCGTGATTCGAGATTTTGAGCCTCATCCCCGAGCTCCCGTGTTGGAGTGCAGCATCACAGCCGATAGCAGAAGGTGACCGACCTTTGTTTTACGGGGGTCAGGAACCAGAGAACGGGAGGGCCAGGAGGGAGGACCACAGGCCAGGTGTGCTGGGACAGGCGGCTGCTTTTTTTTTTTTTAAAGAAAAAGACAACCATATTCTCACTAATTGTTTCACAGCCGCCCCCCCCCACTTTTTTGCTGTGAGAATTGAATAGATGGGCTAACACTTAGAAACTGTAAAGTGTGTAGAAAAATGACATTCATTGTGGCTGATATAACAAAATCAAATTTACTGCCATTGAATTAATACCGACTCATAGCGACCCTATAGGACAGGGTAGAACTGCCCTTGTGAGTTTCCCAGGCTGGAGCTTCTACTATTGCTGGGAGAAGGAACCCCATCTTTCTCCTGGTCTAATACAAAGCCAGTCTGAAGTTTCTTCTCTGTCGTCCTATGTGCCAGGGGTGGTCGCTTCATGATCTCAGTTGTGCCCTTGTGGCGCACAGGGATCACAGGCCCAGCACTCCAGAGCCCGGACCAGGCCTGTCATGCCGGAGGTTCAGGGCTGGGCCGAGACCACGCACAGAGAAGGTCCCCAGCATGCCCTTGCTTAACCCCTTTACACAGGGGTTTGCTGAAATGGGTTTGCTTTTACCCTGAGTAGCAGCTAGAAAAATCATTTTTATAAAAACAGATGGGAGGGATTTGTGCCCTGCAAATGCACCTTCCGTAAAGGACACACACTGCCTCTGAAACACGCAACATGAGCCGACAAAGGTCATGCGTGCTGTTTCACTGAATGTTCCAGAAACCCGCTGCCTGGAAAAAGATAAGCAAGCAGAGAGGGAAGTGAATCGTCGGTCACCCCTTAGCAGGAAACAGCCCATAACAGAAATGAAGATATGACGCCTTTAAAAGCGCCAAGGCAAAAGGACATGGTTGAGTGCCTGAGGGACGATGCCTTGGCAGAAAGAAGAGACTCTAGTCCTGTAAAGAGCTGCAGTCCCGTAACCCAGGGGCCGGTCTGCCCTGCCCTGTAGGGCTGCAGAGAGTCGGGCCGGACTCCAGGGCCGTGAGGGGTCTTTATCGTGCCTTGGTGCTGGCTCTCTTCTTCAGTGAGTTCCAGGATTACAGTTCCTGAGTGAATACAGCTCTGCCTTGGCCAACCCTCTTGCCCCCTCCAGGGTCCAGGTGAAATCTCTGCAGAGTGGAAGCTACCTGTGCAGCCTCTGCCTTTGAGTCAGACCCAGAGGCCCCCCAAGAGGGCTCATGTAGCTCAGGGCCCCAAGGTTCCTGCTTGAGGGTTCCCCATAGGAGGGCAGGTGGGCCGCCTGAGGATGAGGCCACCCTCTTCACTCAGCAATGAAGACCACATTCACCTAATAAACAATCATCAAGCCAAACCAAACCAAACCAAACTCCCTGCTATCGAGTCGGTGCCAACACACAGCGACCCCATAGGATGGAGTAGGACCGCCCCCGCGGGTTTCTGAGGCTGTACATCTTTATGGGGGCAGACAGCCTCATCTTTCTCCCGAGGAGCGGCTGGTGGGTTTGAGCCACCGACTTTGTGTTTGTCTAGCAGCCCAATGCATAGCCCACCATGACACCAGGCCTCCTCATAATCAATACGAGGCCTGGTAAGGAACATTTTCACAAAACACCTTTTCTGGAGCATCTTTTGAAAAGGGCATTACATGCGATCTCAGTTTTAGAATATACAATTTTGCTTGTTTGTTTCCTCTGAAGAAGCTGTTGGAATTATTCTGTTACGAAGGGTCTGTATGTGCACTTTTTATTTTCAGAGTTGTGGCAGCATCCTACGACAAAACAGTCAGGGCTTGGGACCTTGAGACAGGAAAGCTGCTGGTATGTATGTCTGCCCAGTGGGCAGGCGGTGTGGGCCGGTCCAGGGTGGTTGGGGTGTGGGGAGCAGGTGAAAGGCCCAGGCTCAGAGGAGAGAAGCACTTTGTTCCAGATGTGGACAGCAGGCTACAGGAACTGTGGCTGGCTTGCCAGGTCTGCAGCAGTAGATGCAGATGATGGAGGTAGGGGCTGGGGGAGAGAGTGTCTAGGAAGAGGCAGAATGTGGACTGAGCCCCAGAAAGGAGGGGAGGGGCCAGGGCACATTGGGCCAGGCTGCATAGGAATGTGGGATGTCTAATTTGACTGGGCAGGAAACAAGGCTGAGAGCATTGGACAAAGGCCACATGGCCAAAAGGCAAGGTCTCTAGGCCTTCCCAGCAGCCCCTCGCTCCATCCTTGAAGGACTGCTCGCAGTCCAAGCAGGGAGTCCGAGAACTCTGACCCCCCAGGATCCCTCCCTTTCTTCCTCCCGCATACCCCAAGGTCTCCCTCTCCACTCCTGTGGCCCTGCAACACTACGGCCTCTCCTCTCCCTTCTTCCTGTTTGCTCTCCTTAAAATGCAACTTTTCTGCTTCACGCAATGGCCGTTTTATATTCATTGTACATTTATTTATTTTTTTGCAAGTTGAGATGAAACAACTCCCGTTGCCTCAGTCTGTTGAACGATTTCCATTTGTATTCTGTCAATCCTGGACCCCTGTTTTATGCCAGCTGGGGATTCTCCCTTCACTACCTTTGGTTCTTAACTGTATCCTACTTTGATCATGTGTAACCTGTGGCTTCCCTAATAAACCCCGTGGCTCGGAGTGTGGACTCTGCATTCTGGGAGGCCATTGCCATCATCGAACCGAGCAGAAGGATGGCCAGAGTGGTCCTTAGAGGCAAGAATGGCAAGACTCTGTCTTACGTACTTTGGACCTATTGTCAGGGGAGACCAGTCCCTGGAGAAAGACATGGCGCTTGGTCAAGTGGAAGGGCAATGAAAAAGAGGAAGGCTGCATAGACGTGTTGGCTGCTGCAACAAGGGGCTGAAGCATAGGAGCAATTGCAAGTCCGGTGCAGTGTTTCCTTCTGTTGTTCACAGGGTAGCTCTGGGTCAGAAGTGACTTGATGGCACCTAACAACAACAACGACAACAACAACAACAACAACAACAAGCAGAGACAGAGAGACATTCTGTGGGAGGGCTGATGGGAGTCAGAATTGGTAAAAGGATTGGAGAGTGGTAACAAAACAAAAGAGAAAATCCTGAAACCACATGAGAAAATGGCCTGCAGGTGGCATCTGACCTCCTCCAGGTTCCCAAGACTGATTTTGACCCCAGGCCGAGGTCAGACCTCCCTCCAACCTTCTTCACCAATTCTGACACCAACCCTCTCTCCCACAGCTTGCTCTAATTTTTTCAGTTTGGTTCTAGAACTCATGGCAGTGGCCGCAGAAAACTCACAAAGGATACTCAAGCTTATGGAGTTTGTTAGGGGAATTAACGGGTTACAAATCAGGTGAGAAATGCTCAAGATGCAGTTGTTCAGTCACGACAGTTCATCCTCTGCTGGGCCTGCAGACAGGATTCTCTCTGGCCCTCAGCTTCTCAGCCTGGACTCTGCCCTGCTCAGGAAATGTTACAAAGCTCTCTCAGGGCTGCCAATAAATGACCAAGAAGGAGCTCTGGTGGTGTTGTGGTTAACTGCAAAGTCAAAGTCAAAAGTTCAAAAACACAAGTCATTCCTCGGGAGAGAAACGAGATTTCTACTCCTGTAAAGAATTATGGTCTTGGAAATCCACAGGGCCAGCTCCACCCTGTCCTATAAAGTCACTATGAGTTGGAATTGACTCAATGGCAGTAAGTTTTAAAATAACTACCCAAAGGGCATGCCACTCTGCCATAAGCCTCAACTGGAAGGCATTTAACTCTAGCTCTCTGGGTCAGCAAACCCAGCTCCCCAATTAAGTTCCCAGAGGCACCCTACTCCACAAACTAGCCTCCTATCCCAAATCACTCAGCGTTCGTTACATGCTCTGTTGGCTGGGAGTCCACCACTCCATCTGATGCAGTTCCTCTGGGGTCAAGCTATCTCCTAGATCCGGGTGGTTTGATGTGCAGGGATCTCAGAGTCTGAAGGACGCTCCACTCCTGGCTCTGCTCTCTTATTGGTAGTAAGACCCCCATTTTCTGCTTCTATGATGGCCCATTTTACACCCATCAGGATGGCAACCACAACTAACTGTTAAGAGTCACTCACAGCTAAACCATCACTGTCTTCTCCCACCTTCTTATCCAGACCCATGAGAAAAATGTAGGGTGTTTGGTGGGAGGAGCAAAGGCTGTGGCTAGAAGGTGCATGTAAGTAATTTACTGCCTGGCATCACTACCAGAGATGCATGTAAACCTGATCTTGGTGTCTCTTTTCCTATTGACCTGTTTACATAGGAATACTTGTCTATATATTTTGTTAACCAAAATGATGTCATCATGCATCTACTCTTCAGGCTCTGATTCCTTTCCCCTCCCAATTAACAACAGTTGTGAATAAACGTACATCTGTGTCTCTCTTTTTAATGGACCCCTAGCTTCCTCAGTAGAGACAGGCTACCCCATATTTCATCATTCCTTGTTATAGGGCACTGAGGGGCTTTTCACTTTTCCCTACTATTGACAATACTAGCATGGGGAAAGGAGCTTAGGTAGCATAATGGGTTATGAGTTGGGCTGCTAACCACAAAGTTGGCTGTTCAAATCCACCAACCTCTCTGATGGACAAGGATGAAATTACTTGCTCCTATAAAGATTTGTATTCTCTTACAACAAAAGATATGTAGACCAATGGATTAGAACAGAGAACACAGTAATACAAGAGAACCCAATACAGAGAACCCAAGCACCTGCAAACACCTCAATTTTGACAAAGGACTAAAACATGTTCAGTGTGGAAGAGATGGCCTTTTCAATAAATGGTGCTGGAAAAGTTGGAACTCAACCCTACAAAGGAATGAAATAAGGTCCATATGGCACATTAGATAAAAAAATGAACCCAAGAAGGATTAAAGACCTAAATATAAACCCTAGAACCATAAGGATCATCAATGAAAAAATAGGGACAAATTTAAAGACCCTAATACATGGGAGAAAGATGGGGCTTTCAATTCTCATAGAGTTACACTCTGGGAAACCCCCAGGGGCAGCTCCACCTTGTCCTCTAGGGTCCCACGAGTCAGCACCGACTCGATGGCAACGAGTTTGGTCTCTTTTGGAATACAAGGCATAAACACACTACTAAGCATAAGGAAGAAACACCGACACTACACAAGACCAAATAGAGGCCTGGGGCCTTCTGACATTTATGTACATCAAAAGACTTCATTAACAAAATAAAAAGAGAACCCACAGATTGGGGAAAATACTTGATACAGTTAGACATTGTGGAGTTAGAGAATGTTTTGTTGTGTATATTTTTGCCACAAATAGAAAAATAATACTTACATGAATAACAATGAGTACAAGGAAGAAGAAAATGTTCTAGAAATGACTATGGTGACAACTGAACAAGTCTTCTTGATAGGACTGACTTATTGAATTGTATGACATGTGTATGAAGTGCTGATATGTAAAAAAAGAAAATCTTATTTGACAACGATATGTCAAATTAAGGGCTAATTTCAAAAGTCTATAGAAAACTACAACACCTTAATTAAAAATAACCCAATTAAAAATAGGTACAAGACATGAACAGCCAACTTACTACAGATTGCACCCAGGCAGCTAACAGTCATATGAAGAAATAAATGCTTGCATTCATTAGCCACAAGAGAAACAGAAATTAACAATGAGATATCGCCTCACACTGACATTCTTAGCAAAATTAAAAAAAAACAGAAAATAAATGTTGGAGAGACTGTGGAGAGATTGAAACACCCCATACATTGCTGATAGGATTGAAGAATTGTATGGCCACTACAGAAAATAAATGCAAATACAAATACCTTATGTTCCTGCCATCTTGCTACTTGGTATTTACTCTAAATAAATAAAGAACAAGAACAGACATATGCATACCATGTTTTATAATAGCAAAAAGATGGAAACAATAAAAAAAATCTGTGGAGGAATGGATAAACAAACTCTGGCCCCTACACATAATGAAATATCGTGCATTCCTAAAAAACAATGGTCTGTCGAGCACCTCAAGACACAGACAAAATTGGAGGACCTTAGGCTCAGCAAAATTAGTCAATTTCATAAAGATAAACATGACACCATTATTATAAAGGAAGAAAGAAACATAAAAGCGGTTTTCACGTCGAAGGAAAATACTTTGGAGACTACCTGAGGCCGGGCTGTGGGAAAAGGAAGAAAGCTGGGGACAGGCAGTCAGGAGGGGAGGGTGGAAAAGGAAAACGACGAAGGAAAGGGGAAGGAGTAACCACATGGGGGTGTGGGGAGGGAGGGCTTAACGGGTCCTGCGACTGCTTTGGTGAGATGGGCTGTACAACCCCAAAGAGCATGCTTTTCTTTGTATGTGTTAATCCAAAAATAAAAGGGGAAATGGATAAAATTTACATTTAAAAAAGAAAAAAAGAGAAGGGTCACAACCTTAAAAACGGTGCAGATTCCTGGCCCATCAGATCTAAACACGGTCTGAGTGGTTACCCATGGAAGAAAAGTAACATCGAGACCGACTTCAATTCTTTTGTGGCATGAAAGCCAATTTCAACAAACAAACCAAAAGATTCACAGCCTTGGAAACCCACAGGGGCAGTTCCACTCGACTCAGAGGGTCACTCTGAGTGGAATCTATTTGATGGCCATGGGTTTGGAGTTTAGGTAATGCGGGAAGTTGGTACATTGTGGGGTACCAGCCCCCACAATCGAATGGGGCCAAGGGACAGTTGTGTAACTGAGGGGTAGCATTAAAAAGACATCAGACAAGATAAAGCATGCAAGTGCTCACCTCCGGGACCACCATGACTTCAGGTACCAGGTCCACAGAGAGAATATATTTCCAACCAAGGCTGAGATACACTCAGGGGTGTGCCAGCCCCCCTAATTACAGGTAACCACATGTGTAACAAAATGGTCTGTACCCTAACCCTAAAAGCCCCTGACTACATAGGAGGAGTCACCTAACGTCAGTCCCAGGGGCAGATCAGGGGCAGTGGCTGTCCTCAGAGCCCAGAGAGCAATAGCACTGTCTGCCTCTATCGTCAGAGCTGCCAGCTAGATAGCAACCCGCCATGTGCTTGTAGGAGGTAACTTTAAGGCAGCACTATTATGGGAGGATATAGTGGGGAACAATAGTAATTATGAGACTGTGATTGGGACTTGCCTCTAACTCACGAGGGTGAAGGCCTCCCTCCACCCCAGAAACCCAGCCTGCCAGGCTTAATATGAGAATAACGGATTCATCCACATATACACTCTTCCTGTTCTCTGCTTCCCATAGTTCATGTTTTTAATACACATCTTCCTCTTTTTAAAGGATAGATAGTTTCTACTTCTATTGCTAACTTTAACAATATGGAAATTAAATTGCCCATTGGCTTCCCACAAACGGGGTCAGCTTGGTCCCCAGGGACCCAATGAGCGCTCAATAGTTCTCACCAACACGTGCTGCGTGGCACCGTTTTTCATGTTTTAGCCCATTATCCTGTGACTCGATTACTCCTGACGTGGAGCACTTTGCCAAATGTTGACTTCTGCTTTTGAAAAGACTTTGTTCTTGTCTTTCACCAGATTTTCCATCTGGGGTGTTTTTCTTTTACTTCCCTGAAAGTCCTTTTGTTTAATTTTGTTCCACGAGCAGTCTGATGCCATTTGCCAAATCCCTGACTGAATTAGTTATTTTCTGCCGCTTGACCAATTATTCCACAAAAGCAGCTTGAAATAGCAAGCCTTTACAATTTCACACAGTTTCTGGTGGTCCCAAACCTGGGAGCAGGTGGTCTGGCTTGTCTTTCATGAGGTTATAGTTAAGATGGTATCCAGGGTAGCTGCCATTTGAAAGTCTGAAGATGCTCTATTAAGATGGCACATTCCTTAGCTGTTGGCAGGAGGTCTCAGTCCCTCTCTTGTGGGATGACTGGAATATTCTCAGGACATGGTTGTTAACTTCCTCCAGAGTGAGTGATCCAAGAGAAAAACAAAGAGGAGGCCATGATGCTCCAGTACGACTGAGTCACAAATGTTCACTTTGGCTCTATTCTTTAAAAAATATATTTTTATTGTGGTGAAACATATCCCTTCAGGACCAGTAGTGTGAGTGGCAATACTGGGAGGGTGAAGGGAGGGTGGATTGGAAAGGGGGAACTGATTACAAGGATCTACATGTGACCTCCTCCCTGGGGGACGGACAACAGAAAAGTAGGTGAAGGGAGATGTCAGACAGGGCAAGATATGACAAAATAATAATTTATAAATTATCAAGGGCTCATGAGGGAGGGAAGAGCAGGGAGGGAGGGAAAAAAAATGAGGACCTGATGCCAGAGCCTTAAGTGGAGAGCAAATGTTTTGAGAATGATGAGGGCAATGAATGTACAAATGTGCTTGACACAATTGATGTAGGTATGGAGTGTGATAAGAGTTGTATGAGCCCCTAATAAAACGATTTAAAAAAAAGAAAAGAAAAATTTCTAAATTTTTCTAAAAAAAGGAAAACACAAACATTTAACAATTTTTATGTGTATAATTCAGTGACATTGGTTTCATTTATGATCATTATGCATCTTCAAACCTTTTTATCACCTCAAACAGAAACTCTTTATACTATAAGCAATAACTCCTCATTCCCTTCTGCCCCACCTGCAGAAATGGCTTATAAATCTTTCTTATATATGTGCCTATTATAGATACTGGCTTTAACTGAGATTATATAATATTTTGCAAAGGCATTCGACTATGTGGATTATGACAAATTATGAATAGCCTTGAATGGAAATTTCAGAACACTTCATCGTGCTCACATGGAAGCTGTACATGGATCAAGAGGCAGTTGTGCAAACAGAACAACGGGAAGCTGCATGGTTTAAAATCAGGAAAGGTGTGTCAGGGTTGTATCCTCTCACCATACTTATTCAATCTGTATGCTGAGCAAATCATCAGAGAAGCCGGATTCTATGAAGAACGAGGCCCCAGGATTGGAGGAAGGCTTGTTAGCAACCTGTGACACTCAGCGACACAACCTTGCTTGCTGAGTGTGAGGAGGACTTGAAACACTTGCTGACTGCAGCCTCCATTGTAAAGTGTAAAGAAGTCTCAAATCCTCACAACTGGATCAATAGGTAACATCATGATACCTGGAGGAAAGAATGAACTTTCGAGGATTTCCGCGGACTTGGATCCACAGTCAGTGCTCATGGAAGCAGCGGTCAAAAGATCAAAAGATGCGTTGCATTGGGCAAATCTGCTGCACAAGACCTCTTTAGAGCATTGAAAAGCAAGGATGTTACTTTGAGGACTAAGGTGTGCCTGACCCAAGCCATGCTATTTTCAATCAATCACCTCAAATGCATGTGAAAGTTGGACATTGAATAAAGAAGAAGAATCAATGCATTTGTTTGAATTGCGGTGCTGGTGAAGAATGCTGAAAGTACCATGGACTGCCAAAAGGAAAAACAAGTCTCTCTTGGAGAAATAATGGCCAGAATGCTTCTTAGAGGCAAAGATGGCTAGACTTTGTCCTATATGCTTTGGACATGTTGGCAGGAGAGACCAATCTCTGGAGAAGGATATCTTGCTTCGTAGAGGGACAACAAAAAAGAGAAAGGCCCTCAATGAGATGGATGGACACAGTGGCCACAACAATAGGTTCAAGCATAGGAAAAATCATGAGGATGGTTCAGGACCAGGCAATGTTTCATTTTGTTGTGAATAGGACACTCTGCATTTGTCACTCTGCATTGGGATCAACTCGATGGCACTTAACAATAACAACAACAAATATAACATCTATCCATTTGTCTGCTGTGGTAGTCACATAATCTGATGTCAACTTGTGGAGGGGTGGAGTCTATCCTGTCAATCAGGTTGCAGCTTGATGATCTCATTTAGAGGCACCTCGGAGATAAATAGCTCACTGGAGGCCAGATACAGACTCTCTGCTTCATCTTCTTGCTTATATGATACATGGAGCTATGCTAGAGCCCTGGAACCAGAGGAGCCACATGGAGACCCCTGCCAGTGTTGAGATAGCTCCACTGCCACTGGATCCACAAGACTTTCAACCCACTGGCCTGTGATCTTCCTGTATTCAGTGTCATTGCATGTGTTGCGTGAGTCTGAAGAGGAATTTATAGACTGGTATTAGACATATGGACTTGATCTGGCCCTGGCTGGGATGTTTTCTTAATGTACAATTGCTCTTTGATATAAAGCTCTTTCTTATACACATATGAGTGTCTGTGGATTTGTTTCCCTAGTCAACCCAGACTACCACAGCTGCCATATTCTATATTCATTAGAAGTGAGTCCCATATTCATGGTCCCAGACACGGTCCTAGCAGTCTCTCACATGACTCAAGAGTCAAGAACGAAAAGAGAAAACATTTTGTTAATTCATTAAAATTTAAGTTAAAAATCCAGTTTCTATATGCACAAGTGCTTGTTGACCCCATGGGACCAGTGGTTACCATATGGAACAGGGGATACATAGAAGCTTTTTCTCATCACCAAGCATTCTGCAGATCGAGAAAGAAAACCCCTTTTTTGGTTGTTGGCCCATTTCAGTGGCGAATCAAGTATGACAACTTCATAGTGTCCTGTAAGTTTTCTCCTGATGGCAAGTATATGGTCTCTGCGTCGGATGTGGACTGTGGACTCTATATAACAGATGCAGTCAATGCCACCACCATCGCACACGTTAAAAGTAAGTATGCATGGCCCCTGCTCTGTTCTCTTAGCCCTGGTAACAGCCACTTGGCACTTGACTGACAATGGCTTTAGATCATTTTAGGGCAGCAGCTCTCAACCTGTGGGTTGTGACCCCTTAGGGGGTTATGTTAGACAGGGTTCTCTAGAGAAACAAAACTAATGATTTTATATGTGTGTATGTGTGTGTGTGTATGTATATATATAAAACATAAGAAATAAACAGTTAACTAATCTATAAAGCAGTACAAATGACTCAGTGCAATTCACTTCCATGAGTCAGCTAGTACACTGGCAGTCCTTAAGTCTTGAGGACCGCTGGGTAGTCCCCCGTAGAACAATTCAGGTTATCCGGCCACAGGCAACAAACAGCAAGGCAGGTCACCCACAGTCAGCCAGATGACAGGGTCTGACAGTCCCCAGCTCAAGCAACGTATACTCCAGTAGCGTGGCGAAGCAAGTTGTGAAGGAACCGCAAACTACCGCGACACAGTCATGGGTTAGGTGTCCCACAGGCAGTGTAGCTTGCAAATTGAGGCAGAGAACAAGCTAAGGCAGCCGCACACTGGTCTGATCATCAAAGAGCAAGAGACAAGAAAGGCGAGGCTTGCCAAGCCATTTATCTCTTAATTGTTCAATTAATCCCACATGTGTTCATTGGCTATGTTGGCACAAATAAACTTACCTAACACAGGGTTGAATGACCCTTTCACAGGGGTCGCCTAGACCATCAGAAAACATATTTCCGATGGTCTTAGGAACCGAGACACCACTCCTCTATCCAGGCGGGTCTGCCCCCATGCAGATACACCCATATACGAGTACCTGGCATAATGATATCATCACGCCAGCTCCATCACATACACCCCATACAAATACAGGTGTGTGTGACAGGGTTGGCGCCATAATGTACTTATGTGGACCAGGCCCATGTGTAGAAAGCACCTGCTGTGTTGAAAGCAGCTACTCCGTTAAAAGCAGCTGCTGTGTTAAAAGCAGCTGCTGTGTTGAAAGCAGCAGTATTGGAGGTAAAATGGCACTTTATGAATTATAATTAATGGGTAAATGTAAAATCATCAACTACTGCACACAAAAAAATCTGTACCATGGGAACTTAATCTGGATGCTTATCAGTCTTTTTATATTCAGCTGTGGTTATGTTCAATTTGTATCAATGAAAATATATTCTGCATATGAGATTCTTACATTATGATTCATAACAGTAGCAAAATTACAGCTATGGAGTAGCAATGAAAATAATTTTATGGTTCGGGGTCACCACAACATGAGGAACTGTATGAAAGGGTTGAGGCATTAGGAAGGATGAGAACCACTGTTTTAGGGGATGAAATGGTAATTGTACAAGCATCATTCAGGCTGAGACACAGATTGATGTAATACAAGCAGAGACAGGTTCCCAAGGTGGATTCTCCTCAGATTCGGTTCAGTCTCTTGCTTGTGAAACATGAAGAAGCACTGTTCCTTTCTAAACGCACGTGGCCATGAGAGTCATCTTTTCTTTTCCCTTTGTTCCTATCTTATTGTGAATTGGGTGCAGGTTTACAGAGCAGAACTGTTTCCATTCAACAATCCACACACATTTTGTTTCATCTCCCTGATGGCAATCCCCACAACATCCTGTTTCCCTGGATTCCAGTTTCTAACCCTGTCTTTCCTAACCCGTATGAGCTTTGTCTTTGGGTGGTTGATTATTCCCCTCAGACATTCAGTTCTAGACCTGAAGGGTAACTAAGGGGCATAGTCTCAGGGTTCTTTTTTTTATGGTCAATTATTCTACTTTTATTTTTCTTTAAAAAATGTATTATTATTATTTAATCATTTTAAAACTCTTGTCACAATCCATATACACATTCATTGTGTCAAGCACATTTGTACATATGTTGCCATCATCATTTTCAAAACATTTTCTTTCTGCTTGAGTCCTTGGTATCAGCTCATTTACCCCCACTCCCTCTCCCTCCCTCATCAACTCTTGATAATTTGTAAATTATTATTATTTTTTCATGTCTTACACTGACCTATGTCTCCTTTCACCCACTTTTCTATTGTCCACCCCCCTGGGAGGGGGTTATATGTATATCCTTGTGATTGGTTCCCCCTTTCTCCTCCAACCTTCCCCTTCCCCTCCTGGCATTGCTACTCTCATTATTGGTCCTGAGGGGTTTATGTGTCCTGGATTTCCTGTGTTGCCAGCTCTTATCTGTGCCAGTGTACATGCTCTGGTTTAGTCGGATTTGTAAAGTAGAATTAGGGTCATAATAGTCTGGGGGAGGAGGCATTAAAGAACTAGAGGAAAGTTGTATGTTTCATCAGTGCTATACTGCACCCTGATTGGCTTGTACCTTCTTTGTGACCCTTCTGTAAGGGGATGTCCAATTGTCTACAGATGGGTTTTGGGTCTCCACTCCACCCTCCCCCTCATTCACATCAATATAATTTTTTTGTTCTGGGTCTTTGATCCCATCGACTCCTCATGATCACACAGGCTGGTGTGCTTCTTCCATGTGGGCATTGTTGCTTCTCAGCTAGATGGCCGCTTGTTTACTTCCAAGTCTTTAAGACCTCAGACGCTATATCTTTTGAAAGCTGGGCACCATCAGCTTTCTTCACCACATTTGCTTATGCAGCACCCATTTTGTCTACAGTGATCGTGTCAGGAAGGTGAGCATCACAGAATGCTGGGTTATTAGAACAAAGTGTTCTTGCATTGAGGGAGTACTTGAGTAGAGGCCAAATGTATCTCTGCTACCTTACTACTTAACATATAAATATATGTACATAGATCTATTTCCCTATCATTATATATACATATATTTACATATATACATGCCTGTATTTAGACCGCTATAAATGTCATTTGCCTACTAACTCTTTTCTCTATTTCCTTTTACTTCCCCATGAATCACCTTTTCTCTGTCTCAGATCACCACGAAAGGCTGATCACATCATGCTGCTTTGACTATGACAGCCGAAAGGTGGCCTCCGTCTCAGCGGACAGGACCATCAAGATCTTGGATGTTACATCCCAGGCCACGCTGCTCACCATCAGGAAGTGAGGAGGGGCAGAGCATTCCTGGACCCCACATGCACACCCTTCCTTACGCCATCAGCTTGTGAGCCAGCACCACATGGAGGCATCTTCGGGGGTGTCTAGGAGGCTGGAGAAGGGCAAAGGGAAGGAGGCAGGGAGGCCACAGGGAAACTGCCAAGTGTGGCCTGTGGGCCAGGCTGGGTGTCAGATACATTTGTTCTAAGGTGAGCCAACACTGGAGAACTTGTGTGGAGCTCCTACTAAACGTGAATTGCCAGCACCTCCTGATACATAGCATAGGAACACTTGATGATCTGGGGCCTTGTGGTGGGGCAGTCCTTCTCCAACAGACCTTGAGGCAGGAGCCCAGAATGTGGACACACCCTGTCCCCGTGCCTGACCCACCCAGCTGTGGCCTGTGTCAGCCTTTCCCAGGATGCTGAGGTGTCCATGCAGGATTCACCACTCACTGGCTGTGTGATCTGGGCCCTTAGTTTCATCATTTGCAAGCTGAGAAAACATGGTGCCTACTCATGGCGGTGGGATGGGTGGGCAAGGCCATGGAGATTTGGTGGAAGAATCTCACTTTCTATGTGGGAGATGTTGGATAGGTGGATTCCTACTTCAGGTGCAGCCCCCGTGGCAGCTCAAATGTCATTTTGAGGCTGAACAAGTTTCAGTGGAGTTTCCTGCCTGAGATGGGCTCGAGATTTACTGCCAAGAAATCAGCCAATGAAAACCTATGGAGTACAAAGACCCTCTCCCGTGGTGCAAGGGCACACCTCATGGGGCTGATGTGAGGGCTGGGTAAGATAATACATGGGCGTCCGTAGCAGAGTGCGGCTCCACGGTGAGAGCTCAGCAAGCGCTCTCTGTTACGGGAGAGGGACGTCCACGAACATCTAGGTCCACATGAGATGCCCCAGAAGGAGGGGCAGTGGTGGGGCACAGCTCTCATCACCACAGAGAGCCTGGTCAATGCTCCCTAGAGAGAAGAGAGGCAGGCAAGGTGGACACAACTTGGCCCACTGGTAATGGACAAGGTAAATATGAGAAATAGCCAAAGGCATGTTCGATGTTTTTCAATGTGTTCTTTACCCGAATTTTTTATTTCTCTGGAATTGTAGCTCTTAATCAGAAAGTAGTGGTGCCCAAAATCGCCAGGGTGCAGCCCAGAACTGGCTTCGGGTGCACGGCCTGCATAGTCACGCAGGCTCCCACGCTCCGAAGCTGCCCTGCTGGGTTTATCATCTGCTACCCATGTTGGGAAATGCCTACTATTTCTTAAACAAGGGGCTGGATGGCTTAATTTTGCACTGAGCTCTGCAAATTATATCGCTAACCCTGCTAGATTTTTGGAAATTTGTAATTCCAGTGGAATTTTGAAGCTTGCAAGCATTTTGTCAGAATTTCATGATTGTTTTAAAACCATTCAACATGATTTAGAAGATTGAAAAGGAGAAGGAAAATCTTTTCAGCCATATTCTTGTACACTGTGTTTTCTTCCTTCCTGATTTTCTCCGGGTCCTTCTCTCAGTTTCCTTTCTGTTCAGATAAACTTGTTTAGGCATCTTTTAGGCTAGGTCTGCAGGAGATACATTCTCTTCGTTTTCCTTGCCTGGGAAAATGTCTTGATTTCCTCTTAAACCCTGATGGCTGTTTGTAGGAGATAGAAATCTAGAGGGACTGGAGGAAGGGGTGCAAAGGGGGAACCGATTACAGGGATCTACATGTGGCCTCCTCCCTAGGGGGGACAACAGAAAAGTGGGTGAAGGGAGACATCGGACTGTGTAAGAGATGACAAAATAATAATTTATAACTTATCAAGGGTTCATGAGGGAGGGGGGAGCGGGGAGGGAGGGGAAAAAATGAAGAGCTGACGCCAGGGGCTTAGGTGGAGAGCAAATGTTGTTGTTTTTCACTTCATTTTCTTTTTTTAAATCATTTTATTAGGGGCTCATACAACTCTTATCACATTCCATACATACATCAATTGTGTAAAGCACATTTATACATTCATTGCCCTCATCATTCTCAAAAATTTCCTCTCCACTTAAGCCCCCCGTCATTAGGTCCTCATTTTCCCCCTCCCTCCCCGCTCCCCCCTCCCTCATGAACCCTTGATAATTTATAAATTGTCATTTTTTGTCATATCTTGTGCTGAAATCATATCACGTGCTGAAATGTGAAGATCTAATTGTCCCTCTAGATTTCTTTTGTTTGTTTGTTTGATTTATTGATTTTTAATCATTTTATTGGGGCCACATACAGGACCAGTGGTGTGAGTGGCGATACTGGGAGGGTAGAGGGAGGGTGGGTTGGAAAGAGGGAACCGATTACAAGGAACTATATGTGACCTCCTCCCTGGGGGACAGACAACAGAAAAGTGGGTGAAGGGAGACATCGGACAGGGCAAGATATGACAAAATATCTTTTCTGTCGTCCGCCCTAGGGAGGAGGCCACATGTAGATCCCTGTAATCGTTCCCCCTTTGCACCCCTCCCTCCAGTCCCTCTGGATTTCTATCTCCTACAAGCTTATCCATCAGGGTTTAAGATGGTGTAAATGTCTTTGACTTGGTCTATGTGGGGTACACCCAGCTTCAAGATATTTTGTCATATCTTGCCCTGTCCGATGTCTCCCTTCACCCACTTTTTGGTTGTCCATCCCCCAGGGAGGAGGTCACATATAGTTCCTTGTAATCGGTTCCCTCTTTCCAACCCACCCTCCCTCTACCCTCCCAGTATCGCCACTCACACCACTGGTCCTGCAGGGATCATCCACCCTGGATTCCCTGTATTTCCAGTTCCTATTTGTACCAGTGTACATCCTCTGGTCTAGCCAGACTGAGAGCAAATGTTTTGAGAATGATGAGGGCAATGAATGTACAAATGTGCTTTACACAATTGATGTATGTATGGATTGTGATGGGAGTTGTATGTGGCCCCAATAAAATGATTAAAAATCAATAAATCAAACAAACAAACAAAAGAAATCTAGAGGGACAATTAGATCTTCACATTTCAGCACGTGAAAAAACGCAAATGTATTAATTCCTTCTGGCCTCCCTGGTTTCTGATGAGAAATTTGCTGTCATCTGAATGGCTTCTGCCCTATCTGTACGTAAGGTATCATTTGTCTCTCATTGTTTTCAAGGTGTGTGTGTGTGTGTGCAGTTGTCAGATGTCAGTTACACTGTCTTGGTGTAAATGTCTTTGGCTTGGTCTATGTGGGGTACACCCAGCTTCTTGAATCTGTGGGCTCATGCTTCTTGCCAGGAAGGAGAGAACCCCTTGTCCTGTGATCCAGCACCGAACCTGGAAAGGTTTGTTAGTCCATCAACTGCCACTGATGGATTTTTTTTATTAAGCTACTCTTTTTCTTCAAAACTCAATGCAATGGTTTTCAACTAGGGCCAATGTGTACCCCCAGTGGGCACATGATAACATCTGAAGACATTTTTAATTATAAAAAATGGGGGGGTGCTCCACTGCTAAACATTGTACAGTCCGAAAGATGGCCCTCCCACAACCAAGAGTTAATCAAAACTGCAGAGGTTGGTAAACTCTAGAATATGTGCTGTAGTCAGCTGAAATTAACATCTGGGCCTTGGTAGGTAGTGACCCAAAGGAATATTGCCCGTTAGGTGACCTGAGATCAGACCCAACTCCCCCGCCCCTCCCTCGCATTGCTGTCCTGAACACCTACAGACCCCCCAGTAGTGAAGTGCTAATATGTGCTCTCCTGCCATCTGTGTTTCAGGGCACATAACAATTTAATTTCAAACTGCTGTTTCACCTTCAGCGGCCATTTTCTCTGCACAAGCTCTTGGGATAAAACCTTGAAAATCTGGAATGTCCATACTGGGGAGTTCCGCAGCCAAGGGGCCTGTGTGACTCTGATGCAGGGCCACGAAGGTTCCGTGAGCTCCTGTTGTTTCGCCAGAGACGGTGAGTAACTAGCCTGTCGGAGGACGTGGTACCTGCGGGATCGCCGGGACAGTGTTTCTCATCACGTGTTCCCATGGCCTTTCCCTAGTGCAATAGAGAGACAGAAAGGTGGTTTCCAAAGATACCAGCAGTGAACACAGATTAGTTTCCATGAGAACAAAAAAGTCAAGAGGGAGCTCCATCAGCAGACATCTTTTTACAGGTGACAGAAACCTAACTCAGTATGCCTTAAGCAACAAGATGAATTTATTAGTGCTGGTAATGCTGCTTGCTTGTCAATCTGTTGCACTGTGGTGGCTTGCATGTTGCTGTGATGCTGAAAGCTATGCCACCAATATCTCAAATCCCCCCAAAGACATTCGGACAGGCTTCTGTGGTGCTTCCGGACTAAGATAGACAAGGAAAAAGGACCTGCTGATCTAGTTCCGGAAGAAAAAAAAGGGCCAGTGTAAATCTTGTGCACGTTAGTGGAACGTTGTCTGGTATTGTACCAGAAGATAAGTTCCTTATGTTGGAAGACACTCAAAATAAAGCCGGGGAAGAGCTGCCTTCTCAAAGTAGAATCGACTTAGTAATGGCCTCGATAGAGTAAAGCTTTCAGGACCGTCCTTTGCAGATACGGCAGGACTCAAAATGAGAAGAAACAGTTGCAAACTTTCGTAATCACATCAGAATGTACGAAGTATAAATCTAGGAAAAGTGGAAGTCATTCAAAAATGAAATAGAACACATAGGAAATCATTGGACAATATCATTAACAGCACATGCAAGTCAACTTGGCTGAAGATAATTTAAAATGGTTGTAGCAGGACATCATCAGGGAACTGCCAGAAACCCAGTTTGGGTTCAGAAGACAATGTGAAGCATGGGCTATCAATGCTGATGCCAGATAGATTGTGGCTGAGAGTAGAAAATACAAGAAAGATGTTTATCTGTATTTTATTGACTGTGCAAAGGCATTAGAAGACTCGTGAACCACCTGAAATATGCGTAAGCTACAGCTTTGCTTGCTCAGAGTGATGAGGACTTAAAGCACTAACGATGAAGAGCAAAGACCAGCGCCTTCACTATAGATTACACCTGAACAGCAGGGTAGCAACACATCCTCACAGCGGGACCAATAAGCAACGTCATGCTATAATGGAGACTAGATTGCAATTGTCAAGGATTTCATTTTACTGGGATCCACAATTCCTTCCATACACAGAGCTGTCAGGAAACCAAATGATGTGCTGCTTTGAGCAAATCTGCTGAAAATATTTATTTACAGTATTGAAAAACAAAGATGTTACTTTAAAGACCAATGTGCTCTTGACTCAACCCCTGGGTTGAGTTGTCAATTGCCTCCTCTGCTTTGGAAAGCTGGAAATGAAGAAGGAAGACCAGAGAATGGGCTCCTCTAAAGACGGCACTGGCGAAGAATGCTGAATGGATCATGAACTGCCAGAAGGAACAAATGTTTCTTGGAAGGACAACAAGATTTTCCTTAGAATTCAGGATGGCAAAATCTCAACTTACGTACTTTGGACATGCTATTAGGAGGGACATTATTAGGTGAGGCCAACCCCTGGAGAAGGACAATAGGCTTGGTAAAGCAGAGGGACAGCAATAAAGAAGAAGACCCTTCATGAGACAGATGCAGTGGCTGAAACAGTGGGCTCAACCATAGGGAACAATTGTGAGGATGGTGCAGGACCAGACAGTATTCCATTTTATTGTACAGAGGGTCAATATTCATCAGAAGCGATTCAATAACTCCTAACAATAGCATGATGGAAGAGTCCAGGAGTAGGTCTGGCTTCAGGCATGGTTGGTTATAGACATACAAACACTGTCAGGAGCTCAACTCTTTCTGTCTCTCAGCCCAGCTTTCCTCTCATACTGGGCTCTCTCTTCAAGAAGGCCAAGATGGCTGAGGATCCACCCGCCCCTCTTCAGATGGTACCAGTACAGTTTCTGAGGAAGACACCCGTTGACTTCACTTAGGCCACACACCTATCACACTTTAGTAGGGGTTTAAGGGCTCCAGGTCTGGCTGCCTTGTATTCCCTGAGAGCTAGGGATCATCTCCTCTAAAGCACGGGGGCTGAATGCAGGCAAGGGTTGGTTTTCCCCAGGAAACTCGGAGAACTCTTGCTAAATGAAAGGCTATGGATGTGAACAGGAACAATGACAGACAGCTGCCATGGACATCAAGCAACAGTGAGAAAAACACTGATGACTGTTCCTTGCACCCAGAGCAATAAGTCATACTGTGAGTGGGGCTTGTTTTGTGTGTTTGGGGAAGTGAGAGAGAGGGCTGACCCCCAGCTCGTACATACAGAACCAAGGCTAATTTGGAGAAATACCAGGGCGTTTTGAACACATTTTCCTCGTTAAATGCCATGATGTCTGGGCCAGCCTCACAACTCCACTACGGGACACCCCTCCAGCTTCTCTCCTTGGCTTTTTGGGTTGAGATTCCCATGTCTGGTTGGGGGCCATTGAGGCACACCAGAAAGGAGCTTCACTGTCCTTAGATTGAGCCACGGGGGCCCCTTGGCAGCTTATTTTCAGTCCATTTCAGTTTGACCAGAGGAGGAAGCACATGGCTGAGGAAGACAGCCCCTCCTAAAGTCCCTTCTTGTGTTGCAGCCTCTTTCCTCGTGTCTGGAGGTTATGACAAGACTGTGGCTATTTGGGATGTAGGAGAAGGCTGCCGGAAATTCTACTTGAAGGTAGGAATGGATCAGATGGAGCATGGGTACAGCACTAAGTAGCTCTCCAGAGTCATTCCATGCTAGGTGCTAGGAATAGAGTGGTGGTGAGGCAGACTGAGATGCCCCACTAATGGAGACAACGCATTTATGCGGAGGGACAAACCAGAAACCAGCAAACTATTCATCCACAATGATGAGACATAGAGGAACCCACAGTGTGTAGAGATAAAGGCAGGTTCCAGGGGGTGTGAACAGGGAGGGCCTTAAAAGAGAAGGTGGCATTTGAGCTGAGAACTGAGTAGCAAGGAGGGAGTGGATGAGTGAGGGTCCCGTGGAAGGGCATTTCATGGAAACAGAACACCAAGTACCTAGACCCAGAGATGGGAGGACGTTCATGAATAGCAGATATTATGTAGGACAATGCCCTAATAGAAAACTACGGGCCGTCAAAATGATGGGGCATTGTCAGGGTCCTTTTGGCTATAGGTTAGAGGAGAATCAGCCTGAAGTGGCTATACAATAAGGGAGTGGGTTACCCAACATAACAGGAATCCAGAAGATGGGCGCTCACCAAAACCCAACCAGGCCCAACTCACAGCCACCCTACAGGACAGAATAGATCTACCCCTGTGGGTTTCCAAGCTGGTAACTGCTTACAGATTAGAAAGCTGAATCTCTCTCCTAAGGAGCAGCTGGTGAATTAGAATTTAGAGCTCTTGGTTAGTAGCTCAACTTGTAGCTCACTATTCCGCAGGATTGACTAATTCAGCGGCCCCTATTCCACAACTAGAGTTCTGTATCCTCCTGGGTCTTGCCATCTTATGGTTGTCATTTCTCACTCTGAATTCTTCCATCTAGGACTCTTGGTCTCTCTATGATCCTTGGCCCAAATGTATAATAGGTCCCTTTGAGTGCCCCAAAGCTGAGGTCCCTGGAGCCCAGGCTGTCTGAGGCATCTTTCCCTAGAGTTTGGGTTTACATCACCACAAAGCAGACATCTTAAAGCTGAATGTAAGTCTTCCTGTGTGTAAAAGTCAGTTTGTACCACTATCGGGTTTTCCTGTTCCCATTTCTCTTTTCTTCTTTCTCTTTGTCTTTCCAATCTCGTATCTTACCTGTTCCTGAATCAGAGCATCTTTGCTTTCTTGTTCTTTTTCTTCCTACCACACCACATCGACTCACCTCCCACCTCTTTCCAGAGGGGAAAAGTCAAAGAACAATAAAGATGCTGACGCAGAGCCCTGACGTCATGAAGTGTTGGAACCAGCACGTGCAGTTACTTGTATCTCCTGCAAACTCCTTTTTACCTGAAGGGCAGGGGGCAATTTGCTTATGCTTTAGTGGCTGGAGCTCTGGTGGTATTCTGGGCTAGGTTAGTGGTGCAAACCCACCAGCCACTCCATCGAGAAAGGTGAGGCTATCTGCTTCCGTAAAGATTGATAACCTTGGAAATGCTGTACTGGATTGCTCTTAGTGGGAATTGTCTGGGTGGCAGTGGGTATGTGTGTGGGGTGGGGGTGAGGGGTGGCACAGTGGAGGAGTCTCAGTTACTTGCAACTCAGACTTGCTCATTCATATGTGTGCTGTTTCTAGAAGAAAGAGTGTCTCCTCTGCGAGAGATGAGCTGGGTCATCTGAGAATATAATGATTTTTAAAAAGCTTTTTATTGTGAATTAGGTGAAGTTTTACAGAGCAGGCTATAGTTTTACCTTCAACAATTCAGGTACATTCTGATTCAACTCATCCATTGTAGTTCCCTCAATTGGGATTCTATCATATATCTCACTTCCTCCTAGCATTTCCTTATTCCATTCCTCCTCCTTTTCTAACCTCCAGAACTTTGTTCTTAGGTAAATGCTGCTCCCTTGGTCTTAATTGGTTGATTATTCTAATGTGCAGGTGAGTTCAGTTCAGTACCTAGAGGGTAAGGGCCATAGCCTTGGGGGTGCCACCAGTCTCTATCTGACCAGTAAGCCGAATCTCTTTTACAATTTTGAGTTCTGTTTCAGTTTCTCCCATTCTATCCAGGACCTTGATGCAATCCCTTGCAGAGTAGTTGGTAGTGGTAGCTGGGCACTATGTAGTTCTTCTGGTCTCAGGGTGTAGAAACTGATGCTTGCATGGTCCATAGTCCATTGGACGGATTGTTTCTATGCGTCTTGATTTTTGTCTTTCCTCTGGATGGAGAATGACCAATAGCTGTACCTCAGATGGCAGCTCACAAGCTTTTAAAACCCCAATTGCTACTCACCAAAATAGGATTTAGAACACTGTCTCTTTGAACTGTTATGCCACTTGACCTTGGTATATAAATCTGTGGGACTATTCTTACTCTCTGTCATACCTGTTCAGCCTGCATGTCTATCCAAGCATCTACTCATAAATCCCCACTATTGTAGGATTATGTCTATTACAGTCTTTGCCTCTGTTGCCTTAACTCTTGCAAACCCCCAAGCATCTTCCCCTGCCTCCATTATTTCCCTGCTCCCTCATATTACATATTGCCAGCCCTTCACTCATTCAAACACGTATCTACCCTCTAGCTCATCATCATACTCTAGCATTGCATAATATTCCATTGTGTGTGTGGTGTGCATAGTAAAGTTGTTGTTTTTTAAATCCATCCTTCCGCTGATGGGCATGTAGGTGTTTCCATCTCTTTGCTATTGTGAATACTGCCATGATGAACATGGGTGTGCACACATCTATTCTTGCCATGACTCTTCTTTCTCTAGGATATATACCAAGTAGGGGGATGCTGGGTCATATGGTATTGCTATTCCTAACTTTTTGAGGACGCATCCATAGTGGTTGCATCATTTTACAGTCCCACCAGCAGTGCATGAGGGTTCCAGTTGCTCTGCATTCTCACCAGCATTTCTTATGTTTGTTTGTGTTTTACTTTGCTGTTAATCCTGGGTGAGGTGGGGCCTGGCTGCTGTTTTGATTTGTGACTCTTGAGTGGCTAGTGATCGTGAGACATAGGTTTGTTGGCTGCCCGAGTGTCTTTGTGGATTATTTGTCCTTTTCTTGTTGAAATGTTGAATTTTTCTATACATTTTTGAGAGTAGTCCCCTGTTGCATATGTTATTGGTATTCCACCCCCACCCCCCAGTGTGGGGGTTGTCCTTTTACTAATTTTGTGAGATATTTGATGCATATCTGTATCTAAGTTTTGAGAGACCCCAGTAATTTATTTTATCTGTGCTGTTTGTCTGTTTTGTTGTTGCTGGTTTTTGTCTGTTTTTCATGATATTTTATAGTGAATTTATGCTATGTATTAGGGCCCCCAAGTTTGTCCTTGTTTTTAAAATTCATGTTTGTTATAGTTCTAGGTTTTATTTTTAGGTCTTTGATTGATCTTGTATTCATTTTGTGTATGATATGAGATTATGGTTCCATTTAATTCTTCCACAAATAGATATCCAATATTTCCAGCACCATAAGAGACTATCTCTTCCATATTTAATATGTTTCAACTTTCTGAAGGTGGATGTTTGACCTATAAGCTCACAATTCTATTCCATTGGTCTATGCATCTACCGTTGTACTAGTACAGACCATTCTAACTGCAGTGGCTGCATAGATTTTGAAATGGAGAAGTGAGAGGTCTCCTACTCTGTGCTTCATCTTTAGTAGTACTTTGCTTATCTGGGGTCTCTATAAAGTGTTGTGTTTGATAAGTTCAATCGAGTCTCTTCTGACCCATAGCCACCCTACGTACAACAGAATGAAACACTACCTGGTCCTGCACCATCTTCACAATTATTGCTATGTGTGAGACCATTGTTGCAGCCACTGTGTCAATCCATCTCTTTGAAGGCCTTTCTCTTTTCTGCTGCCTCTCTATTTTACCTAGCCTGATGTCCTTTCTCTAGGGACAGGTGTCTCCTGACATGTCCAAAGTATGTAAGATGAAGTGTCATCATCCTTTCCTCTAAGAAGCACTCTCACTGTTATTTCTTCCCGGAGAGATATTTTTCCTTTTGGCAGTCCATGGTACTTTCAATATTCTTCACCAGCACCACAATTCAAACAAATGCATTGATTCTTCTTACTTATTCAATGTCCAACTTTCACAGGCATTTGAGGTTGCTGATTGAAAATAGCATGGCTTGGGTCAGGCACACCTTAGTTCTCAAAGTAACCTCCTTGTTTTCCAATACTCTACAGGTCTTGTGAAACTGATTTACCCAAGGCATGAGTCTTTTAATCTCTTAAGGGGGTATTTAAGACTCCTTCAAAAAGGATTAAAACCAAATTGAAAAACAATTAGCACTAATATGTGTGTGTTAGACCGGGTTGACTAGAGAAACAAATCCAGGGACTTTCATATATGTATAAGACAGAGCTTTATATCAAAGATCAATTGTATATTGAGAAAACATCCCAGCCCAGTCCAGATCTGATATTAGCCCATATGCCCAATGCTAGTGCATAAATTCCTCTTCAGACTCATCCAACACATGCAATGATGCGGAATGCAGGAAGATCACAGGCTGGTGGGTGAAAAGTCTTGTGGATCCAGTGGCAGTGGAAACATCTCTACTGGCTCCTCCAGCTCCTGAGTGTCTCCTCAGCAGTAAGGTGAAGCAGAGAGAGAGTATGGCCCTCCTCCCAGGAAAAAAAGAGAGGAAGTTCCCAGAATCATGATTAGGCCACACCCACAGGGAGGTATCATTGGCTGTGACCTGATTGACAGGCTAAACTCCACCCCTTCATTCTTTTATCAAGTTGACATGAAACTTTAACTACAACAATATGACATGCAATAATCATACTAAATTAATTAGTACTTTTTATTTAACAGTTTTTATTGTAAATTATATGGGGCCCACTGATTTTTGTATGCTGATTTTGTACTCTGTCATTTTGCTGAATCTTCCAACTAGTTCCAGTAATTTTCTTTCCAAGTTTTTGGCATCATCTGTGGATATAGTTTTAGGTCTTTGCTATTTTGGATGTCTTTAATTTCCCTTTCTTGTCTGATAGTGGTGGCTAAAATTTTCCAGCACTATATTAAATAGAAATGGTGATAAAGGATATACTTGTCTGATTCTAATTTGTAGGGCAAGTGTTTTCAGTTTCTTTCAATTGAGAATACTGTCGTGTGTGGGTGTGGGTGTGAGGAGTAAAACACCAGTATTGGGCAGCAGCATCTGCTAGTTACAGAGCTCACAGGGTAGGGTCAGAGGGGGTGGCACACTGGTCACAGAGGGAGTTCTTGTTAACCTCTGTGTTATCTGGGGTCAGAGCACCTAATTTGAAAGTAGTTTGCGCTGGCTTAGAAGGTGGCTGAGGTCAGGACTTGTTTCCTAGAAGGAATTCTTTGGGGCCCGGAGAGTAGCTGGGGCCAGGACAGCTGGTTACAGATGGGGTTTCTTCCCATTGTGGGTAGCTAGAGACGGGTCACTGAGGGTTCTGCTGGCCTTTGAGAGAGAGCACACATTTCCATGAGCGCACAATTCCTGCCTCAGGACGTGTGCGCGCGCGCGTGCGCGCGCGTGCGCGCACGTGTGTGTGTGTGTGTGTGTGTGACCAATTTCTGGGTGGATGACGGTAGGAAGTAGTCATGCTTCTGGTCACCAGTTGGATGTGGGCAACAAGGAAGAAACCTACCTCTCATCACTGGCCACCAGCATGTCAGTATGGCCACCACTGTGTGGATGGAATGCAGCTTGCCGAAGATCACAATGGCCATGAATCATCAGGCTAGCCGACAATTCACCTGTCTGGCTCTCTCCTCTCTGACCCCCTCTGTTCAGCTTCTTCTCCTAGTTGGTATTTAACAATCTCCTCTATCTTTTCCTCTGAATCTCGGGGTTCTAGGATTGTTATCTGTATGTATTTCAGTAGGTCTCTCATGTCTTTGTTGTGATCTGTGTAGCGTGTTGACTTGGTTCACCATCTTGCCGGAGGCCTCTCTTCTTTTTATCATTCTGATGAATACTTCAGAATAAGGAAGTCCTGGTGGTGCTCTCTGGTACCCACTGGCTGCTAACCAGAAGGCAGCTAGTTCAAACCCACTAGGGTTTGAAAGATGGGAGAAAGATGAGTCTGTCTGCTCCTGTATATTTTCAGCTCAGGAAACTCCGGAGAGGGTCATTGTGAGTTGACCCAATGGCAGCGGGCACATCTCAGTACCATTAAAAACAAACAAATGAAAACTCCACACACATGTGTGTTAGTCTGGGTAGACTAGAGAAACAAATTCATAAACATGCATATGTATATAAGGGAGAGGTTTATATACAAGAGCAATTGAACATGGAGAAAGCATCCCAGTCCAGTCCAGATCAAGTCCATAAGTCCTATATTAGCCCATATGTCTGATAGCAATCTACAAAGTCCTCTTCAGACTCACGAAACACATGCAATGAAGCCAAATGCAGGACGATCACAAGCCAGTGGGTAGAAGCATCCAGTCACGTTGTAAGCATCTCAGCGCTGGCAGGGGTCTCTCTGTGGCTTCTCCAGCTTCAGAGGTCTGGTTGCATCTATGTGGCTTGTCTTCTGCAATGTCTCCCAGGGAGTAGCAGAGAGAGAGAGAGGTGTCTTCCACCTCCAAGGAGGAAGTACCATATTTCCCAGAATTCTCAGGAGAAGGCCATGTCCACACAGAAGTCCCATTGGCTATCTCCAGATTGACAGTCTAGACTCCACCCTCTACATTCTTAATCCTTAAATTGACAACACATTAGGTGACTACCACACATTGCCATGACATACACATGAATCACAAGCCCTTTTATTTTGTATTCCACCTTAAATATTGTTGATGGAAACAGGTAGTACAATTAATTCCTTTTGCTTAAATGTAAGCAACATGGGTTCCTGGCTTTTGTTGTGTTTTACTTTTGTTGTAATTATAAAAGCATCCTTTCTAATTCATTGTTAAAATTTTATTTTTCCATCAGGGCCATAATGATTGGGTGATGGATGTTGCCATTAGCAACAACAAGAAATGGATCCTGTCTGCTTCGAAGGTAAAAGTGGTCAGCCTCTGAAGGACTTAAGATATCTGTTGTCTTTTTTCAGAACTAGTGATAATAGATATGTTATTGCCAAGTAAAATTCCTGGGCAGCCTCAATCTGAGGTTCTCACCCGACTAGGTCACCTCCTTTCAGGGAGTTGCCTGAGAGAGCAAGGAGCAAGTCCTTCCATTGTCTTATACGAGGAGCTGCCAGAGATTTCTATGTTGGCACCATTGATATTTGAGTTTGGTGGGAGCAAGGGCCTATCCAGACTGGTGAAACACAGAAAGGGCCTTGAAAGGAGGGTATCAATTCAAGGACAAAGCAGAGGCCATGCCAAGGTTCAGGGGTGGGGGGTGGGGGTGGGAGTGGGGTGGCGTGGGTGGGAGGGAGTGGGGGTGGTACATCTCCCCTATTACGGCATCTTGGGATTCCTATCTCAATGGCACATAATGGCTGTGCTCCAAGTATGAGCACCTGGGACAGGGAGTCCAACATTCTCCACCTTTACTTGAGCTTTCTCAAGATTTGCACTTTCTAGGTATGTAAGACTGTGGACATAGGTATGTAAGACTGTGGACAAGTCTCTGTATAGCATGACCAACTTTTTAGAATGCCAACATGGAACACAACTTTACTAAGCAAAACAAAAAACAATACCAACCAAAAACTAATTCTATGCTTATGTGTTGTTACGTTAACATAAAACCATGAAAAATAGGTGTTTATTTGAAATTAGATATTATTGTGTGTTTTCTACTTCTCTGTTGCATCAATGCTGTTATTGAAACAAAACATCAACAGCCAGCTAACAGTTTACAAATAGTAATGATTAGCAGTAAATATCAGGATTAGTGAAATAAGTGAGAAATATATTAAAAATTAAATATCATAACATTTTATAATGTTTATTTTTGTCCTCTGTTATAGCAACTTACTTTTACTTGAACATTTTATTGGCTATTTCATTTTTTAGAATTTATTGTACTTTTAAAGATACATAAAATGCATGAATTTTAATGAGAACATGTGTACAATAACCAAAAAGACAAAAACAAACTCACTGCCAGTGAGTCAATTCTGACTCCCAGTGACTGTAAAGGACTGTATAGGGTAAAACTGCTTCCTTGTAAAGAGTGTAACTATTTATGGGTGTAGAAAGCCTTATCTTTCTCCCTTGGAGTGGCTGGTGGTTTCGAAATGCTGACCTTTTGGTTAGCGGCCCAATGTGCAATAAAACATAATTTACTTATAGTTCATTAAAACACCAACATGAACCAATTTCCTTCTGCCTATAATACAATTCAAAAGCCCACTGCTGCCAATTCTGACTCATAGCAGCCCTACAGACAGGAGCAGAAAGCCTCACCTCTTTCCCAGGGCGCAGGTGAGCCACCTGTCTGTGGTTAGCTGTGCGGCACTTTGGAAAGTGCCACCAGGTCTCCTCACAGCATGGTACTTCCTTGCCCAGTGGTGCGTCTCTGCATTGGAAGGCTTTAGGCCATCAGTCTTTATGTAGTGGCCACAGTGAGTACAGTCAGATGCAAAATTCACTTTAGTCCAAAGCTCTGGCCTTTCCAGTTCCAGACTACACTGATTATGGGATGACATCAAATTTAATGCCCTCTCAATAGCAATATTTGGGCAAAGTTTACTTAGGATTTTACTGACTCGCAACAACAGGTTTTTATATAAGTAAGAATTCCTTCCCAGCTCTCCAAAAATGTCCATCCACGTTTAATCTACAAATCCGTCTTGCCAGACCAGCTGCTTGTCAAATAGCTCCTTTAGCACTGTAAATAAGTCATAGGGGCTACATGTGCTTAAAACAGCCATCATTTTAACACTCTGAAACACGTTGGTTATCATCGTAACTTAAATTCCATTCTCAGGGAAAATGGTTTTAAATGGTAATTTCAACTTGTGAAGTTAAAGTTGAATTCTAATTAAGTTAACGTTTCAGTAAAGAAACTGAAAAAGTTCTGTTTAACTTCGCTTCCCTTTTCTCATGATTTCTTATGCTTTTTTTTTTTTAGAAAGTAGTCTTGTTTCCAAAATTAAGTCACTATGATTTTTGCTTTAAAAATTTTCATTACAACCGACACAAAACTTGGGACCACTCATATTTGGTCAGTTTGTCCTTTTTAAGGCCTTTTCAAAGCTCATGAAACGATATGTGAATTTCTTTTTAATTATAATCCTTTTTCCACTTTCATCTTCAATATATTTCTAAACTAGAGGTCATTCTTCTTGTTCTGCAACTTTTTTCTTGGGAGTAAGGTGAAAGTTTACAGAGCAGATCGCACTTTTATATTCAATAATTCATACATTCTGATTCAGCTCATCCCCTGCAATCCCTTCAATGTACCACGATTTCTCCCAGGGTTTGCTGTTTCCGTTCCTCCTCCTTTCCCAGCCTCCAGAACTTTGTTCTTAGGGAAATGCTGCTCCTTTGGTCTTCATTGGTTGATTATTCTAATGTGGAGGGGAAGGTGAAGGCCCAGTCCCTTTCTGGCTAGTCAGCCTGGTCTTTTTCATGATTTTGACTTCTGGTCTGCATTTTCTCCCACTCTATCCGGGACTTTGTAAAGTGATCCTTTTCAGAACAGTTGGTAGTGGTGACTGGGCACCATCTAGTTCTTTTGGTCTCAGGGTTGTGTTGATGGGTTTCTGTATGACCCATTAGGCCATTGGACCAGGGGTCCTCAAACTGTTTAAACAGGGGGCCAGTTCACTGTCCCTCAGACCCATTGGAGGGCCGGACTATAGTGAAAAAAAAAACTATGAACAAATCCCTATGCACACTGCACATATCTTATTTAAAAGTAAAAAACAAAACAGGGCAAAAACACCCGGCAGCCTGAATAAATATCCTCGGTGGGCCGCATGTGGCCCGCGGGCCGTAGTTTGAGGACTAATTATTTCCATGTGTCTTTTGATTTTCATCACTACTCTTTATTCTGGAGGGGGAGGGAGTATGTGAGCTTTTACAACCTCTGAAGCTAGTCACCAAAACATGTAGAATGTAGAACACTGTCTTTGTGAACTGTTAGGCCAATGGCTCCCCCAGAGACTGTTGTCGTGATCTACCCCCAGGTCCAGTGACTCAGGGCATCAAGGTGTTTGGTTAAATTTAATAAGTTCGCATAACTTTGCCCCTTGTATGATCCACGACATCCATGGATATATTTGCAGCAAATATATATACATAAACAAACATCTTCTGTCTTCAAGTCTATATCCTGCCCACACCTTAAAACACTCCCTCTCCTCACAGCCAGCGTGGTCCCTGCTTTGTGCCTTAGTGTTCATTGTTGCCAGAGGTACATTGTTACTGTGCAGCCTAGCAGCATTACTGTTGTAAATGTCAGCTCATGAGGTAGTTGATAATTGAGAAGTAGGTATATGACTTATCAACATTTTAACATCTTTTCTAAGGACCTTTTCTAAGATAATAGTCATTTTTCAGGTATTTGCCTAGTGAATATATCTTCTTAAATTTCTATGAAGTCAAAATTTTAATACTTATCTGGCAGGGGAGATACCATGACCATGAAGGTGATTTTCTCAGGGCAAGGTTTATCCATTGCACCCCGGATATGCTGACCCCTGCGATTTCCCCAAATGTGGGAAACTCAATAGGATAATTTGTGGTAATGGGGGACTAAAAAATTGTTTTTAATTAAGTGTAACTTAGAAAGCTCAAATTCACCGTCTTACAGCACTCTAGGGTAGAAGTCTGACATGCTCTCCTAGGTTAAACTCTTTTCTGGAAGCTCCAAGAGGTAATCTTTCCCTTGCTCTTCCTTGTTTCTACACTACTCCTTTTCTACAGACCATTCCCAAGGAACGTGTGGTCCCCTCCTGATTTTGAAACCAGCAACATTGCTATCTCTCATTGAACGTATTTTAAACAGTTGATTGGACATCTTTGGTTAATTCCAAAGCCGGAACTTCTACAGGAGTGGTTCCTACCAAATTCTTTTTATCCTGTGAATAGACCAGTGGTTCTCAACCTTCCTAATGCTGCGACCCTTTAACACAGTTCCTCATGTTGTGGGGACCCCCAACCATAAATTATTTTCTTTGCTACTTCATAACTGTAATTTTGCTACTGTTATAAATCAGGCAACCCCTGTGAAAGGATCGTTTGATCCCCCAAAGGGGTCACGACCCACAGGTTGAGAACCACTGGGCTATACATTTTTTTTTCTGTTTTGTGGTTTTTTCCCTGTTGTTTAGGACAGAAAATCCTGTATTCTGTTGTGGCAATTACAGAAATTGAATTCTCCCATTCTTCAGTGTTTGTTTTTATTTAGTACTCGGGCTATGTGTGCAACTTTTCCAAATGAATTTTGCAAATTATGTATTCCTTGTTGTGGGTGGTCACTGAAATTTGTTTCATTACATCTGCAGCCAGCCAGCGATCTTAAATATCTGGCTCCTAAAGAGGGAATAATAGAAACAAAGAGAGAGGAGAAGGAAGGACAGAAGAGGGAAGGGAGGATGGGTGCAAGGAAGGAAAGAAAGAAAAATGTGCCACCTCTCTTAATGCCCGCAACAGAGAACATCCTGGGAGTCCCTTCGTTCCTTGGGAGCTGGGACACAGTTTGAAACACTGTGCTGGCCTCCCAGTCATCAGAAGCAGCAATCCAACACATAACCCTGATTTTCTGGAGGCCAAAATCCTGCTTGCCCACTTTGGCATCAGCAACCCACAGCAGGAACCGAGAATGGCATCCTCATGACTGTCTGCCACGCCATGGAGGATGGTAGCCTTAAGCAAAACTTGAACTATGCATGCACTCAACCATCTTCTTCACGGAGCTGTTTCCTGGATCCTGAAAGTGGTTAATTAGATTCCAGAGTTTCAAAAAGGTTGATTTAGATAGTTCTTGTCAGGTCAATAGCTGTTCAGTGGAGGGCTTGAATCCTGGAGCAACCTACTCTACTGTCTTCCATGGTGTCCTTAATTTTATTTCTGGATTGTTCATTGCAAGTGCTAGAAATACAATTGATTTTTACATATTGATTTTGTATGTTGTAATCTTACTGAATTTTATTGGTCCTGATAGTTGTTTTTTCTTTTCTTTTCTTTATTTATTTAATCATTTTATTAGGGGCTCATACAACTCTTATCACAATCCATACACACATCAATTGTGTAAAGCGCATTTGTACATTCATTGCCCTCATCATTCTCAAAACATTTCCTCTCCACTTAAACCTCCGGCATTAGGTCCTCATTTTCCCCTCCCTCCCCGCTCCCCCCTTCCTCATGAGCCCTTGATAGTTTATAAATTGTTATTTTGTCATATCTTGCCCTGACGTCTCCCTTCGCCCACTTTTCAGTTGTCCGTCCCCCAGGGAGGAGGTCACATATAGTTCCTTGTAATCGGTTCCCTCTTTCCTACCCACTCTCCCTCGACCCTCCCTGTTTCGCCACTCACACCGGTCCTGTAGGGCTCATCCGCCCTGGATTCCCTGGATTTTCAGTTCCTATCTGTACCAGTGTACACCCTCTGGTCTAGCCAGACTTGCAAGGTCGAATTCGAGTCATGGTAGTGGGAGCGGGGAGGAAACATTTAGGAACTAGAGGGAAGCTGTATTTTTCATCATTGTTACATCACACCCTGACTGGCTCATCTCCTCCCCGAAATCCGTCTGCAAGGGGATCTCCAGTGGTCCTGATAGTTTTCTAGTGGATTCTTTAAGATTGTCTACATATTAGATCATGTGATCTACATCGTTTTACTTCTTTTCAAAATTGGATGCCTTCTATTTCATTTTCTTTGCACATTGGTATTTGGGGGAGCTGAAAACACGTTTGCCTGGTTTAGAAGTCCTTGCCTATTGCACCCATGATGTGTGAAATGCCAGCTTCAGATGTGCTTTTGCGCTCCTGTCCCCACCGTAACACCAGCTGCCATGGCGTTGATTCTGACTCATGTGAACGCTGTTTGTCCAAGAATTGCGGCTCATAGTATTTTCAGTGGCTGAGTTTGGAAGTGCATCACCATGTCCAGAAGCACATAAAACAGTCTTGCCATCCTGACTTCTCAGGAGCACTACAGTTATACTTGTTCCTAGACAGATGTGTTTGTCCTTTTGGCAGTCCACAGTACTTTAAACATCCCTTGCCAGCACCATAATTAAAATAAAGCAATTCTTCTCTAGTCTTCCTTATTCAATGTCCAACTTCCACATGCATGTGAGGTGATTGAAAACACTGTGGCTTAGAGCAGGCGCACCTTAGTCCTCAAAGGGACACCTTTGTTCTTGCACACTTTAACCAGGTCTTGTGCAACAGCTTTAGGTATGGATTTTGTATCCTGCAACCTTGCTGGACTTGTTGATTGATTCTCGTCATTTTGCTTTTCCTTTTTTTAGTGGATTCCTTAAGATTTTCTACCCACAAGATCATATTACCTACATACAGATTTACAGTGGGTTAGCCTCTTTTTTCGATGATGTATGGGTCATGCTGGCCTTGGTCTTATAACTGATCTCACTTTGATTATCTGAACTTTTCAAAAATAGTATCCACAATGTTGAAAAATTAGATGAGCATTATCATGCTGCACAAAAGGAGCCCTCATGGTGTAGTGGTTTTACACCGGGTTGCTAACCATAGGGGCAGGATTTTGAAACCACTCATCGCTGTTTGGGAGAAAGATGGGGCTTTCTGCTCCTATATAAAGAGTTACAGTCTCAAACCCAAAGGGGCAGTTCTACTCTGTCCTATAAGGTTGCTATGAATCCACATGGACCACACAGCAGCGAGTTTGGTTTGGGGATCATGCTGTGAAGTCCAATAGTTGATCCACAGGCAAAATAGAAAACAGACTGTTGATGCTTATGGCTACAGAACACTTCATTGAACAATGAGTTGCACCTCTCTCTGTAACAACTGATGGCCCATTACTGTGAATGGTGACGCCCAGTTGGCAACATCCGTGATGGCAGGGTTGGACCGGATCATGATAGAGCTGCAGGAGATGGATGAGCCATGCCTCCCCCTCTGAAAGTCAACGGTGTTACTTTCAGTTCATCCTTTTTGGAAACCTTATATAGGTTTTGTCCTTTGCTCCCTGCAACTTTCCACACTGACCTCTGAGAACGACACTGTTTGCATCCTGGGAAGGGTTTGCAGGACATGACCTTTCAGTGCTAGAGCTCAGCTGGTCATTTGGCCACTGTGACATGGCTCCTCCATGTCACCGGTAATGCCTCTCCCAGGTTCCTCAAAGCCTAATGAACCCATTTTGTGACTGTTGATTTGTTATTGACTTGTTTTAGGATCAAACCATGAGACTATGGAATATTGAAGAGATTGACCAAATTCCTTTGGTAATCAATTACAAAAAGGCCAAAGGCTTAAAGGTGACACAGGTTGGTATTGGGGTCAGGTGAAGCATAATGGAGGCCTTCACTAATTCACTCTTCACATTCATTCAGCCTCTGGGGACCCAACCATGAACCAGTGGACTAAATCACCCCCATTGTCTAAAGGGGAAGACAAATGCCAAATCACAAACCAAGAAAAACAGATAGCAAGCCACATGGTGATAAGCCAGCTGGTGAATAAGAAAACAGGACCCAGAAATGAGAGCCAAGAGCAGCAACACTGTAAAGGGTGGCTGGTGTCGGTATCATTTGTTCCAGACTTGGAGGAGGCGAGGGGGTGAGCAGCACGGGTCTCTAGGGACAGGACTTCCCAGCAGAGGGGACAGCAGTGCAGAAACCCGTGCCAGGAGCAAGCCCAGAATGCTACACACTGGCCAGAGTGGTGGAGTGTGTGAAGCAGGGGGCATGCGAGGAGGTGGGGCCAGAGTGAGTCTTGGGCGTGGAGGACCAGCTGGGCAAACAGCCAGGGCAAGGACCGCCCTCCTACGCGTCTGCAGCAGCCTTCCTGGCAGGGTCATCAGGGCCCCAGTGCTCAGAGAAGGAGCTCAGAGTTTGGTAGCAGTGGGCACAACTGCTTCACCCAGGCCAACGTAGGGCTGACCACAGTGGCTGCTGGGACATCTCTCTGCTGGGCAGGAGGTGTCAGCCCTGGCTGGGACTTATCTGAAGATGCCTGGCTACTACCTCAAAAGGGATAGGGCACCCATGCTGGGCCCTCCTGACCTACCCCCCTTCCCTTGGAATCATGGGACCAGAGGCTTGTCTTTCTCTCAGAAGGTCCAGCTGAGAGCCAGCAAGGATCGTTTTGCCCAGTGCTGTGGGGCAAGGGATGTGTGGGGCGGAAACCACAGGGACCTCACAGTGGTGGCCAGCTGTCCTCAGGGCTGGTGGTCATGTTGGTCCTCAGACTCTGGCAGCTGACTAGCTAATGAGCAGTGCCTTCTCCAGCCCTTCCCAGCCACTGAGGGCCGGGCTGCCCAGAGCCTCCTCTGTCACCCCATTTATCTGGGTGTGGGCCAGGGGAGCTGCACTGAAGAAGGTAGGTACAAGAAAGACACCCCCCCTGAAACGGTCACGAAGATACCCAAAGCATCTTGCCCTGAACCCCCATGAGAAACCCTGGCCCTGTGGGTTTTGCCTGGCTCCCCCAGGCACCCCCAGGGGGACCACATGGCCTCTCCAGGGGAGAAGCAGAGGGCACCAGCTCAGGAGCAAGGTTAGCATGCCCCAATTTAGGGAAGGGCGGCAAAGCCAGGGCAGGATGCGCCACCTTGCAGGCTTGTCTGAGGGGACTGTGCTGTGGTGGGAACCCCTGAGGGACCTCTACCCATGGCTGGAGAGTCCCTGTCCTGTGGGGCGGCTCACTGGCTTTTGAGATGCAGATGGGATGAACGAACCAGGCCATTTGTGTTCAAGTTCTCTGTGTTTGGACAAGAGGCAGGCTAACTGTTCTCAGGGACGGTGCAAAGGATGATCTTTGGCACCTGCAGCCAATTACCACCCCTGCTGTTGGCTTTCTTCTTACAGTTCTGTAGAGGCTGGGTGTCCCCAGGATGTCAGGGAGTCAGGAGTGCCCATCATCCCTCCAGTTGTATTCAGCAGTTGATGGGGTTGGGTACCCACACTCCCATGGCAGGGGACAAGCAACTGTTCAGCCAATCCTTGGCGGTGCCTGCAAAGCTTTTAAGAGGAAAGGGAGGGAGGGGACGATGTGGCCATCCTCTCTGCTTGTGAGCTTAAAGACACTACCACATGGGGGAGGCAGCTCGTGTCTTTACTCAAGACGGCTGGGTTAAGAGGGGGAATGAGAATTGCGTGCCCTGGTCCCCTCTGAGCAGCACTGCCTTTCTGCTCTTTTAAATGTGCCACGGCAGTGTGAAGGATGTGACAGGCCTTTCTCCATCTTCGAAAGCGACTCTTCTCTGGAAATATTCACCAAATGTGTGTTCTGCCGGATGGATGAGAGGCACCTGACAGAAGAGGCCCTTTTACCACCATCCTCCTCCTCCTCCGAAAGGGAAAACTCCCAGGCCAACAAGATTGAGTGACGACCCCAGCCCGCTGTCATGTAGGCTGTAGGGCTTGGCAGAGACCTTTTTCTGGGGCCACCACCCAGCAGACTGGAGCCCGGGGTGGGGGTGGGGTGGGGGGGTCAGGATCTGGCTGGGCTCTTAGCACATTGCTGCCTCCTCAGCCCTCCAGCACCCTTGGGGAGCACACATTTTCTTTCTAGCTTTCACACCAAATAAATATAGATTTCTCTGGAAAACTGTGCATGTGAATTCCAGAAGTACTTTGCTGATTTCTCTGCATTATGGCCCGGTGTTTGTCCAGTCTCATTCTGGGAACACAGACTGGACCCACGCTGCTTTTGGAGTCTGGAGCTGCCCTTCAGGCAGCCTCCGTTGGGGCCCGGCAACTGCCCCTGTGGAGGCTTCTGTCGAACGGATATGAGAATGAATGTTTCCACTGCGGGTGAGGCCGGACAGTGGCGAGACATTGTGGGTGCCTTTCTGCATTGCACTCCCAGGCCAGCTGAAGGTTGGGGTAGACCCCGGTCAGGGAAAGACAGATGGTGGGTGTTTTTGTCACAGGATGCTTCATGCTCTTAACCCACACCCCTCAACTTCTAGAAAGCTCTGCAGCCTTCCACAGCGCATCACACAATGTGAACCAACTCCTTCAGCTTTGAAGAGTAAGGCTTTCAGAGAATGAACATGAAGGGCCTGCTTCACTAGTCGACCTGGCCCACTTGCTTTTCATTAAACGTCATTAGTAGTCCCCTTGGTCCATCTTTAGTTTAATCCTTCACTGTATGCTTCCTGGAGCGTGGCTGCCAGGTTGTAAGAGCCTGAGCCAAATGGAGGAAACATATGGAGGAGGATTGGGGCATTCTTCGTGATGGTGGCTCCCGCTGAGCTTCCCACCAGCCCTGACTGCTAACCCTGGATGCTAATTGTAAGCCTCCAGGTGCTTACTTTCTGAGTTAACACCATATAGAGCCAAAGAATCACCCAGCTGAACCCAGTCAACGCATAGGACCATTGTTGTTGCTGTTAGGTGCCCCCAGGCCCCTTCCGACTCATAGCAACCCTAGGTGCAACAGAGGAAACTGCCCGTCTGAGCCAGTCTCACGACAGCTCTTAGGTTTGAGTTCATTGTTGCGCTCCTGTGTTGTTCACCTTGTGGAAGGTCTTCCTCCTTTTGGCTGCCCCTCCTACTAAACATAATGCCCCCCCCCCACACACACACTGGTTTCTCCTGGCAACATAAGAGATAATGAAAGGGTGGTTGTGTTAAAAATGCTGTTGCCCTAATGGGTTGCACACTGGGCTCCTCACCGTAAAGGCAGCCATCAGGCACTCTGCAGAAGGATGGGGTTTCTGCTCCCGTAAAGACGTCCAGCTTTGGAAACCCCCAGGGGCAGCTTTACTCTGTTCTATAGCTGTAATCTATTTGATCGCACTGAGTTTTGTGTTTTTAAAGCAACAGAGTTTGGGGGTAAGTTGTTATGTATTGATAACTGAGAAACAGTATCAGAAAGTAGGGTGCTTCTGTAACAAAACCCTAAAATATGTGACTTTAGCTTTGAGACAAGATATCAAGCGGAGTCAAGCACCTGGAGGAGACTGAGTGGAGGCTGCAGGAGCCAGGTGTACATGGGGCTTAAGTCATGCACTGTCAGGATAATTAGCAAACTGTCCCTTGCCAGGGTGAAGATAGAAATGGTACATCATACATAAACTTATCAGTCTGGCTAAAGAGATCCAGGTAGAATGCTGACAGTGCCAACTTACTTATCTCAGAGATAATTATTTTTATTAATCAACATCCAATTAAATTCAAACTCCAACCTCCCAATAAGCCTTCCAATTGGCCCAGTGGTCACTCCATTGGACAATGTGAGGGTTCCTGGACCATTTCCCCCACTCTGCAGATGTCTATCGGACTGCAACGACTACTAATAGTACACTACTATTAAGTATTTATGAAGCTCCTGTCAGGAAGTGGACGGTACCTCCAAAGGGGGTGGCTAAAGCACAGCTTCTGAAAGTGTGGTCCCTGGAGCATAAGCATCACTTGTGAACTTATTAGAAATGAAAATTCTCAGACCTTACCCCAGACCGACTGAATCAAAGTCTCAGAGTGGGTGTGTTAGGCAGGGTTCTCTAGAGAAACAAAACCAGAACACTTAGGAATATATATATATATATCAATACATAACAACTTACCCCCAAACTCTGTTGCTTTTATATATATATTCCTAAGTGATATATATATATTCCTAAGTGTTCTGGTTTTGTTTCTCTAGATCTATCTATCTATCTATTGTTCTCTCTCTATATATAATATATATAATATACATATATATTATATACATATACAGCACGAAGGAATATAACAGCTAATTAGTCCACACAGCAGTACAGAGGGCTCAGTTCAACTCACTTCGTGAAAAATAAATTATAAATTTCGTAATAATAAATTATAAATATACTGGAAGTCCTTCAATTCAAGGACTGCCAGGTCCAAGGTCAAGGAAGCAGGCAATGCAGGCACAGTCTACCCACAGGCAGCGAACAGCGGGCGGGTCACCAGTCCCAGATGGGATATTGAACTCAAGCAACGCAAGGCGACAGGATCCACCAGCCTCAAGCTCAGCACACCAGCAACGTGGTAAACCAGGTCTGGAAGGAGCCTCACGAGCTAACAAGATCCACAGGCTGGCCTGGTAGTGTAGTTCACAAATTCAGGCAGAGAACTAACTAAGGGAGCCACATGCCAGTCCACTCACCAGAGAGCAAGAAAGAGAGGGGCAGTCCTTACCAAGCCATTTATCTCTTTCTCCTCCAATCAAACTATGACCTGATTAATCCCATATGTTCCTATTGGCCAGGTTGGTGCAATAAACCTACCTATCACAGTGGGATGTGACTGAAATCTGTGTTTTAACCAGCCCTTCAGGTGGTGTTTATGACCGTTTTTTGTTTTTTTAAATTTTAGTGGGGGCCTTTTTAAAAAAAACCATTTTATTAGGGGCTCATACAACTCATCACAATCTGTACATACGTCATCTGTGTCTAGCACTTTAGTTACATATGTTGACTTCATCATTCTTACGATACCCACTTTCCACTTGAGCCACTGGTGTCATCTCATTTTCTCCCTCCCTCCCCGCTCCCACCGAACCCCTGATAATTTATAATTTATTATTATTTTATCATATCTTACCCCATCCCACTTCTCCCTCACCCACTTCTCCGCTGTGCATCCCCCAGGGAGGAGGCCACATGTTCCCCCTTTCTCCCTCTCCTTCCCTCCACCCTCCCGCCATCGCCACTCTCTCCACTGGTCCAGGGGGCTTCAATGGCTACACAAGCAAGTGTGGTGAAGAAAGCTGATTGTGCTCAGCTACCAAAAGATATAGCACCTGAAGCCTTAAAGACCTGAAGATAAACAAGCACCATCTAGCTGAGAGACAACAAAACCCACAAGGAAGAAGCACACCAGCCTACCCCTACTCAATCGCTGAGGACATAGGGGGTGCATTAGCAAAAGTGGGGAAGAAAGAAGATGGTGCCCGGCTATCATATGATACAGCATCTGGGGTCTTACAGGCTTGAAGCAAACAGATGGCCATCTAGCTAAGAAACAACAAAACCCACAAGGAAGAAGCACACCAACACGAATGCTGAAGACAAAGCGGGTACATAAGCAAATGCGGTGAAGAAAGCTGATGGTGCCAAGCTGTCAAATTACACAGAATCTGGGTCCCACATGCTGGAAGATAAACAA